AACTTTTGCACATTTTGTACTAATATCCAGTGTTGGGAGTAACGCGTTACCAACGCAGAACTCGGGACGAAGAGCAGCCGACACCCGATCGAGCCTTGCAGACGCCCTGTTCCACTGACTTGGGGTTCTCTCAGGGGCGGTCCTAGATTCCAAGTTCTAGTCCAGGAATAGTCCTTGTTTAGACCTGGTTTAGACCTGGTGTAGACCTGGTGTAGACCTGGTTTAGACCTGGTTTAGACCTGGTTTAGACCTGGTTTAGACCTGGTTTAGACCTGGGTCAGTTCTGGTTTAGACCTGGTTTAGACCTGGGTCAGTTCTGGTTTAGATCTGGTTCAGCTCTGGTTTAGTCCTAGTTTAGTCCTGGTTTAATCTTCGGTTCAGTCCTGGTTTAGACCTGGTTTAGTCCAGGTTCAGCTCTGGTTTATTCCTGGGTCAGTTCTGGTTTAGACCTGGTTTAGTCCTTGTTTAGACCTGGTTTAGACCTGGTTTAGACCTGGTTCAGTCCTGGTTCAGTCCTGGTTCAGTCCTGGTTCAGTCCTCGGTTTAGTCCTAGTTTAAACCTAGTTTAGTCCTGGTTCAGTCCTGGTTCAGACCTGGTTTAGACCTGGTTCAGTCCTGGTTCAGACCGGGTTTAGTCCTGGTTTAGTCCAGGCTCAGTCCATATATGGCGCAAAAGTTCAGCATCTTCGCAGTTATTTTATTCAGAGTAACTTAAAAGTGCCGCAATAGTCGTGTAATATTTTACATTTTAAAAACACTAATCACTTTGAAACGACAGAAACATGTCATAAATAACACACTACAGTTTTAAAGTCACTCGCCCAACAGTGATAACATCTATAACTAGAAAAACAGCAAATGGCGCGTGATTTCAGGTTTCGCATTAGCAACCGACCAAATTAATCTCGACAATCGCTCAGACTGTTTTGCATGCGCGGTGCTATTAGGTTAAATGTCTAATTAGAAACGCGTCGTGTCCCGAAGCGCCGTGTTCTCTCCGGTTGAGTAGCTGCCAGCGATGAAGCCGCAGCATTAAGAAAAATGCCTCATGAATTATCAATGGCCCGGTCCATTGTTGCGCTGATGACTAATTCTTAAGCTTGGAAACGCGATCAGCTGTGTGTGGACTTTGCCGTTGCCAGGACCTACAGAGAATGCACTAACCCCGCCGCTTCGAGAAAAGTACCTGACCAACATTTGCCGAGCAGCTTTAGTAGTACAGAATGTTCAAGTGCTCCTCACACGCACAAAAATTACACAAACGTGGCGCAAAAATACAGAAAATCAACGTATTCTTGGTTCTAATTTGAGAAATATGCACACGACCCCTAAACTTAAACACTACGCAAAAATTTGTTAACAATTTCTAGTTGGACGAGCGCAAAATTGTACGTTTATGGCTGTTTAAAGACACAAAAACATCAGTTATATCTTGTATTATGTGGCTATTACAATGACTCAGACGACTATTAAAATATAATCTACGCAACCTGCAATAAAATGCAAGACTTTTTATAGAACCTGATAGCAGACGTGTCATCAAAACATCAAAATAAAACCATCAATATCACGTGTAAATCTTTTCTAAGTACCATGCACCGGGTTACAACTTTAATTTGGTTAAAAATGTGGTTTAAATTATTCCAAATGTGTACAAAAGAGGAAAAAAATGCTTAAAAATTCTTCAAACTAGTCTCACTAATGGAATTTTAGTGAGTATTTGCGAGTATTTCTCTTAGTATTAACAGCACAGGATAAAAATTGTACAATAAAATTAGAAATTTATTTAAAAATATAATAAACTACGAAGGGGTTGTGCCAAAATATTGAAATATCGATATATCGTATTGTTTAATTTCATGATACAGTATTGATATTTTGGGCTAGAATATTTTTAGGTATATTTTACTAAAAAGAAAAAGCGCACTGTATCGAAAAACGTATCGTATCGGCAACTTTTTAACAATCCCCGGCCCTGAAACTATGTCATGTTGTAGATATGAATAGTAATTAGTTTGTGTTTTCCATTCCAAAAGCCAGTTACTCAAAGCTGTTGGATGAGTTCAAGGTGGACAGGAAATTTGAATGTTATGTCATCATTTTACTTTCAACACACGTCAGCGTCTTAAATACGATATGTACATAGTAATAATTAGTGTTTTATCGTTGCATAACAGCTGTTCAGGTCTATTATTTGTTTTTTTTTGTTTGTTTGTTTTTCAGCGTTGGAGTTCGGGGTGTGAAAAATGATCGTTTAATGCGATGATACGGTCTCGATATATCATAATATACATAATTATTTTGTTACAGCGCTACAGTTTTGTTGCTTGTTCAGTGAAAGGAAACTCATTTATGCGACACATTTGACATTTTCACTGCTTCGATGATTAAAATGGGCGTGTTTTTGTTTGAACTTTGCACAAGAAGTAGTTTAACAAAGACTTTTAGTATGACAGCCATGATTTAGCCTTAATTTTTTTATCCAATTGAATTGAAATACATCATATCGAACCAAAAGTGTACTGTATCGAGATATGTATCGTATCGTGGCCTGTGTATCGTATCGGCAACTTCTTATTTATACCCAGCTCTAATGTTATGTCACCGTTTTACATTCAACAAACTTTAGTTGAATCTTAAATGTGCTTTGTATATAATAATGATTTGTGTTTTAACATAACAGGTGTTCAGGTGGAGGGGCATGCCAAAATATTGAAATATCGATATATCGTATCATTTAATGTGAGGATACAGTATCAGTATCGTGGTCTGCTGTATCGATATTATCACCAAGAGTATTTTTTGGTGTATTTTACTAAATTATTTTGTTACAGCTACAGTTTTGTTGTTTGTTTAGAGGAAGGAAACTCATTTAAACGACACATTTGACATTTTTACTGCTTTTATGATTAAAATGGGTGTTTTTCATATTAACTTTGGACTACTTTAGTGGGTTAATAAAGACTTTTAGTATCACAGCCATGATTTAGCCTTTATTTTTTTATCAAATCAATTTGAAATACATCGTATCGAATCGAAAGTGCATTGTATCAAGATATGTATCGTATCAGCAACTTCTTAACGATGCCCAACCCTAATGTTATGTCATCGCTTTACATTCAATAAACTTATGTTGAGTATTAAATATGATTTGTGTTTTATAATTACTTAATAGCTGTTCGGGACGAGGGGTGTGCCAAAATACTGAAATATCAATATATCGTATCGTTATAAAATGTTGTTTTTGGTATATTTTACTAAATTATTTTGTTACAGCTACAGTTTTGTTGCTTGTTTAGCGGAAGGAAACTAGTTTACGCAACACATTTGACATTTTTACAGCTTTTATGATTAAAATAGGTGTTTTTCATATTAACTTTGGACTATTTTGGGGGTTTAATAAGAACATTTTGTACTTTTATGGTTTAATAAAGACTTTTAGTATCACAGCCATGATTTAGCCTTTATTTTTTATAAAACTGATTTCAAATATGTGTTTTTGAATTGTACAAAATCGAAAGTTCACTCTATCAAGATATGTATCGTTTCGTACCGTGGCCTTTGTATCGAGGCATGTATCGTATCGGGAACTTCTTAGTGATACCCAGCCCTAATGTTATGTCACCATGTCACATTCAACAAACGATTTTAGATTCTTAAATGTGATGTACATGTAGTAATAATTTGTGTTTTATCGTTATATAACAGCGGTTCAGGTCTAAGGATGTGCCAAAAATACTGAAATATCGATATATCGTATTGTTAAATGTTGTTTTTGGTAAATTTTACTAAATTATTTTGTTACAGCTACAGTTTTGTTGCCTGTTTAGAGGAAGGAAACTAGTTTACGCAACACATTTGACATTTTTACTTTTGTTATGATTAAAACAGTTGTTTTTCATATTAACTTTGGACTATTTTGATGGTTTAATAAGGACATTTTGTACTTTCGTGGTTTAATAAAGACTTAGTATCCCAGCCTTTATTTTTTTACTAAACTGATTTCAAATATATCCTTTCGAATCGTATTAAATTGAAAGTTCAGTGTATCGAGATATATATCGTTTCGTACCATGGCCTTTGTATCGCGGTATCGTATCGTATCGGGAACTTCTTAGTGATACCCAGCCCTGATGTTATGTCACCATGTCACACTCGACAAACAATTTTTGAATTTTAAATATGATGTACATGTAGTAATAATTTGTGTTTTATCGTTATATAACAGCTGTTCAGGTCTAAGGATGTGCCAAAAATACTGAAATATCAATATATCGTATTGTTAAATGTTGTTTTTGGTATATTTTACTAAATTATTTTGTTACAGCTACAGTTTTGTTGCCTGTTTAGAGGAAGGAAACTAGTTTACGCAACACATTTGACATTTTTACTGCTTCTATGATTAAAATGGGTGTTTTTCATATTAACTCTGGACTATTTTGATGGTTTAATAAGAACATTTTGTAGTTTTGTGGTTTAATAAAGCCTTTTAGTATCACAGCCATGATTTAGCCTTTATTTTTTATAAAACCGATTTCAAATATGTCCTTTCAAATCGTATTAAATCGAAAGTTCAGTGTATCGAGATATACATAGTTTCGTACCGTGGCCTTTGTATCGCGGTATCGTATCGTATCGGGAACTTCTTAGTGATACCCAGCCCTGATGTTATGTCACCATGTCACACTCGACAAACAATTTTTGAATTTTAAATATGATGTACATGTAGTAATAATTTGTGTTTTATCGTTACATAACAGCTGTTCGGGTCTATTATTTTTGGCTGTATTTAATTACTTTTTTTTTTTTTTTTCAGAGCTACAGTTAGCATCGAGCTAAAGATGCTAACCCTAAACAGAGAACAGCTGATTGACTGGAGCCGCTTTTGGACACCCCGGAAAAAGGAGCATCTGAAGCCCGATACGATCCGACCCGAGGGGCAACGGGCCACGGGGGAATAACTCCACGCACGATGACAGCTTTCGTAAAATTAAACTTACCCAAATAGATGTCTCCGAACGAGCCGCTGCCAATTTTTCTGCCCAATCTGTATCGGTTTCCTACCCTAAGCTCCATGGTCGGCCAGCAAGCGCCCTCGCTAGCTTCAAAAACACAAAAATAATGTCTCTTTCAAAAGCTGAACTCGTGATTTCAGCCGCTCGGAACTCGGACCTCGGAAATTCCGTTATAACGAGATAACGGGGTCTTCTTCGTTACGTCTCCCCCCGGAATCCGCTCCCACGATCTTTCACCGCTTGTTTTAAAATGATAATAACGTCATATCGCTGCAATACGAGGTTTTTCGGAAAGCCTGAAACGTGAACTTTATGCTCTGAGAGGTTGTAGCGTCCGAAAGTGTAAAATGTCCAAGGATGAAGATGGATTTTTTTGTGAAGAGATCGGCCGCGGATCGGTCTCGTCCTCTGGGTTTCGGAGGATCTCTGCGCTCTGCCTTGTTCGGCTCCCCGGACCAGGCGGATGTCACTTCCGGGTTGGGGGAGGAAGGCGGCGTCACCAGAGATGTTTACGGGAGAGAGATGACAACACGCGAAGAAAAAAATAAATAAAAATAAGAAAATGACAACACGCGAAGAAAAATAAAAATGACAACACATAAAGAAAAAAAAATAAAAATAAGAAAATGACAACATGCGAAGAAAAAAATAAAAATAAGAAAATGACAACACGCGAAGAAAAATAAAAATGACAACACATAAAGAAAAAAGAAAAAATGACAACACGCGAAGCGAAGAAAAAAATAAAATAAAAAAATGACAACACGCGAAGAAAAAATAAAATAAAATAACACGCAAAGAAAAAAATAAGAAAATGACAACACGCGAAGAAAAAAATTAAAAAAAGATAACAGGCGAAGAAAAAAATAAAAAAAGATAACACGCGAAGAAAAAAGAAAAAATTTACAACACGCAAAGAAAAAAAAAAGAAAAAAAAAATAAATACAACACGCGAATAAAAAATAAAAAAAGATAACACGCGAAAAAAAAAAAAAAAAAGACAACACACGAAGAAAAAAATGACAACACACGAAAAAAAAATTTAAATAAAAAAATGACAACACACGAAGAAAAAAAATTAAAAATGACAATACACAAAGAAAAAAAAGAGAACACACGGAGAAAAAAAATTACAACACACAAAGAAAAAAAATTAAAAATGACAACACGAAGAAATTTTTTTTTAAAAATGACAACACACAAAGAAAATCTGAGCGCAGGGGGTTTTGGTCTGAAATTTTCTTCTTTACCAGTCTTGTTAAATAGAGATGTTATAAGTTTTTGGTCCACTACTTCAAAATAAAAAAAAGAAGTACTCTGTGTAAATTTAATAGACCGTTTCAAATGTTATGTCATCAGAATGTTCAAAATTCTGGAATGGAGGTAAGTGGAGGGAAAATGAAGCTAAAGTAATATATTTATAATAATTAACTGACATTATAACAAAAAATAAGCAACAGTTTTGAATTTTGAAGGTACAAATCTTATTTACTTTGCTTCTCTGTTAAGAAGGATGGAAATTGTTTTTGGGCTTCACAAAAAGTACAATTTATGATGAAATGTGTAATATGTTTGTAGATGAAGTGAAAAACTGTTGAGGGCTCAACGTTTCTGTAAGGATTTGTTTAGTAAAACCTCAATATGTGGATTTTGCTTTTGTAAAAATGCTTAGTGTCTATCACGATCTCTTGTCAAATAAACAAATCAGTGTTTTTAAACTGGGCTCTGATATCATTCACATGTATTGGAGTGGTTTTCATTTTCCAAATTGTCCTAGATTTTTAATAATTTGTGATATTCTGAAATTGATCCTAGTTTTTACATAAAAAGTGCATTATGTTCCACTTCACTTTTGCCTCCAGTTGCCTTCATTCCAGAATTTAGAATGTTTTTGTTTACAATTTTTCAAAGGGTCTATATTACGTCTTGCCAAATTTTATGTCAACAAAAGCAAAATTCAGAAGTGTCCCTGTGTCTTTACTTGTTTTAAAAATGAACTCAAATTATACATAAAATCTCCGAAATATATGAACGGAACTAAAGCTCAAAAAGTGTATTCCTACGAGTGTAAAATTCCCTTGAACTCTTTGGACTCAGGTTGATTGAACTCTACTCCCCTTGCTGTTATCTTTTATATTGTTTTATTATGATTGTTATTGTATAATATGTTGTGTTTATGTTCCCTCATCCAGACATGTAACTGCTGACGACGCCAAATTGGTTGGATTTTTAAAAATAAGATTTAATCCAATTTAGTTTAAACATATTATTTAGAGTTGTAAATTCAAAAAGAAGAAGAAGAAGAAACTAAAGAAAGAACAAAATGTACAAAAGGAAAGAAAAGAAAGAAGAAGTGCAAAGAAAATTGAAACTGAAATACAGAAGGTTTGTAATAATTTTGTAAAGTGTCAACTCGATCCACTGCTTTACTTTAGTACATGACCATTTTCTACCACTTTGGAGATCACATATATTACACCTGATGCCCTTCCTGGTCGTGTCTTGCCACTGACATCCAAATGCAAATGTTTTTGTAAGACTCTGGACTCATTTGGAGCTATACATGTGTTCTAGGGTGACCAGATTTTCAGAATAAAATACTGGACATCCCCGTTTTTTGCCTGTCGGTAATAATGAAACTGTGAAACGAGTCCGAAAATAAGGAAAACTGTTATGCGGAGACCATTTGTGACTTGAAAAGAAAGAAAAACTGGGACAAATCAGTGGTTTTGGATAAATCTGCTGGGACAGATTTATCCAAAACCAGTGATTTGACCCATTTTTTTGTTTTGTTTTTTTTACAAGAAATGTCCCAGGTGTCTCTGTTTTTGACCAATTTGTTCCCTGCCAGGTAAAATACAGAAAAACTGCTTAAAAATGATCAAAACACAAAGAAAACGTGACTATACTGGCTCACATGTTAGTCATGAATGGTCTCCGCATAACAGTTTTCCTTAATTATGCACCCGTTTCACAATTTCATCTGGAATATATTTCGTCACTACATCTTCTCAAATATGGGTGGTTTTAATTTTGTGTCGTCAACAGTTACATGTCTGGGTGAGGGAACATAAACACAAACACGAGAGGAAAAGGCTGTTTCCCTCAACAATACACGCATCATTAATTTCAGAATTTCCGGTCATTACGCAATTCATACTGGGAAGGATTTTCCAAAAAAGTGAGCATCAAACCGCCATGTTTGTTTTCCCAGTGGGATGCGTCCGATCTTTTCGAGTCTTTTGAACCATATCACTTTTGTTTCTGGTTCTGATATTGTCATATTTTTGTTTTGGGATTCGGACGTCGTAATTGTGTGGTTGTTGGATCCTAACAGCGGAAAACGGCTCGAGAAATTTGTTTGCGAACTCCATAGATGCAAAAGTGAATCAGATGTGTGTGATTCAAACCTCCGTTCAAACTGTTTCTCTTCACAATGGAATTGAAAAATAGTGAAAGGTGAAGGCGATGGGCAGGATTGATCCACAGGAAGAACCAAAAAGGAAACATTTGACTGCCTAAATCATCCCGAGTTTGCAGCGAACATTTTGTATGTGGAGCGCCATCAAAGTAAAATCCTGATCCGTCGCTCAACCTCGGTTACGAATTTAAAAAGTCAACGCCAAAGTGAAAGGCACCAACTGTTCACCAAGAAACACCTTCCACTGCAAAGAGACCAAGACGTGATGTTGCTGTAAAACCACAAGAACAAGAAAGTGCAGCTCAGTCTGTTTGTCTTCTGCACCTCTCCATTAACAAACGGGATTTTGTTTTGTTGCTGCTCCACATACAAAATGTTCTCTGCAAACTCGAGATGATTTCTTAGGCAGACAAAGTTTTCCTTTTTGGTTCTTCCTGTGGATCAATCCTGCCCATCACCTTCACCTTTCACTATTTCAATTCCGTTGGGAAGAGAAACAGTTTGAACGGAGGTTTGAGTCACACACATCTGATTCACTTTTGCATCTATGAAGTTCGCAAACAAATTTCTCGAGCCGTTTTCCGCTGTTAGGATCCAACAGCCACACAGTTACGACGTCCGAATCCCAAAACTAAAATATGTCAATATCAGAACCAGAAACAAAAGTGATATGGTTCAAAAGACGAGAAAAGATCAGCTTTGTTACGGCCCCAAGCCTTTAGTTCTTATTTGTTTTGCGTGATCTTGCTGAGCACTCCTGATTCCTGCTGCGGGAGTCCTGGTCTGTGATTGGTGGAGCATGTCGACGCCCACCTCACCTGCAGCCGCCGCCCCCTACTTAAGGAGATCACCAGCACTTGTTCAGGGCTGCTGGTCTTGGTGGTCAGTCTGCCATTTTGTGTTTGTGTGTGGTTTAGTTTAGTTCTGTTTTGTGCCTTTTTTTTTTTTTATTTGGTCACTTGATTCTGTTTGTGGGCTTATGTGGTTTAATTTGGTGAACTTGTGTTTTAGTTTCCTCGTTTTCTCTCGTTTTCTGTAAGCCTGCGTGACCCCTTTTGTGGCACAAATCTCTGTTTATTCTGTTGGTCTGTTTCTTAGTTTAGGTTATTTTCTATATATTTTAATCTTTTGTTAATTTACCTTTACATTCCTGTTAATTAAACATTATTTAATTTATTCCATTTTACATCTTGGTTTTATTTTTGTTACTTCCCTCACCCCCAAACGAGCTGCGTCGTAACGATATGGCTCAAAAGACTAGAAAATATCGGCTTTGTCAATAGACGCATCCCACCGTGAAATCAAACATGGAGGTTTCATGCTCACTTTTTTTGGAGGATCCTTCCCAGTATGGATTGCGCAATGACCTGAAGTCTGAAATTCATGATGCATTTATATACTCCACAACTTACCGACAAACGTGCTCGTAGTTTTACAGGTATCAAAGTCATGAATAGAGGAATTGGACAGAAACCCTCGCTGGAGCTCGGGCTTTGTTACACAGCACGCTCGCTCAAATCCTACCCACCCATAAACTGAGACAAAAGGGAAACGCCTTTCTCCTAACGGGCAATCAAATTAAGTCCCGTGGTGGTGGGTAGGGCCCGTGGGTCTCGAGGTCTGTGCTTACTGCCGACACTGCGAGCTTTTACAACAGCTTACTGCACAAAGTCAAATGAAAAGAAAAGGAAAAGAAAAGAAAGTAAAAAGGGACCGGCTCAACTGGCAACTGTTATGTAACGCATTTCCTTTTCAAACGGAGGGAAAACCAAACCTGTTTATTACCCCATTGTGTCCAAAAGCGGCTCAAACAAAACTCATGCACTGATAAGAATCTGTGTTTCATTCGTTCATTAGTTTTTCAATATAAAATCAAAAATAAGAAAATGAAAAAACAGCAGTTTTCTTCATTATTTGTCTCCAAAGCCAAAATGAAAAAACAGATAATGATACATTTTTTCTGTTTTGTGTTTAAATGAAGAATGGAAAAAACAGACAACGACCATTTCTCGTTTACGTGACTTAAA